CCTCCTGCTTCTTCCTCTCCAGTTGCTCGCCGCGCCGCGCCAGCTCCGACACAACCTGCTCGTGCGTGCGGCCACCGCTCGTCCCTCCGCTGCTAACGGAGAGCGACGATGCGCCCCGCTGCGACCGCGGCGGGTCGGGACGCTGCGCCAACTCCACAGTGTGCACGAGCTGCTGCCGCCTCGCGCGCTGCTCCTCTAGCACCTCTGCCGCACGCCTCCGCAGTGGCGGCGTCCCGCTGGCGAGGGCGCGCGAGTGGGCGTTGATGGAGGGGGAGAAGGTGCACTCGCGCTGCTCGCACGCCTTTAGCAGCGTGCACGACTCGCTCCGCCAACGCTCGCGCTCCTCCTTGCCCAGCATCCCCTCCTCGTACAGCAGCTCCTGGTAGCTCTTGTCTGGCAACGGCGACGCCGGCCGCCCCACCCGGTAGAGAGCGGGCACCTCGCGCAAGCCCGACTTGAGGTTGAGCGAATGCGCCTCGGACTGCTTGCGCGCCTCCATCTCGGAGAGGAGCGCCGCGCTGCGCGCCTGCGCCGCGGCGTCCTTGGGGGAAGGGGGCGTGCCGGCCGGTGGCGCGGCGCCGGCCAGAGACTTGTTGGCCCGGCGTTGCGCGTCCTTGTACAGCCGGGCGGTCGCATCGCTCCCAGTCTTGCGCTGCTGCGCCGTCGCCCGTAGCTCCTCCTTGATATCCGCCTCTAGCGCCTCCCGGAGCTGAGACCGTCGGGCCTCGTCATCGCCGACATTCGCAGCCTCGAGCCGCCAGTCATCGAGGCAGGCGGCCATCTTCTTCTCGGCGGAGGAGACCCGCGAGGCCGAGGAGGAGGAGGAGGAGAGGCTCCAAGACATTACGCACCGGCCGTCCGCCAGGAGCGGGCGCGGAGGGGGGGTGCGGGGCCGCGCAGCGTTTCCTGGGGGCGGGCTCGCCGTTACCCGTTTAGCCGGGCCAGCTGGATTTGGCGCGTGCTACCGGATCCGCTACCGCCCGGGGCACCTCGGCATTGTGTTGTAGTGTCTGTAGGTGTTGCCAATCTGCTTTAAAGATGTTCACACCGGAAATTTCCGGAAAAGAAACGACACGTCCAGCGGTGTAATGAAGGTCTGGCACACCCTCATCGCCTGCGCCAGCAGTACCGGAGCTGGACGACAGGCGAACCCCAGCCTGAAGGTGGGCACGCAGATCAAGCTGGCTCTGCTCACGGCAGATGCGCCCGAGTTTGACGAGGCGAGCGGGCTCTGGAAGCAGCACGCAGCTGGCCCCGCGATCGGCGCCACGCCGTTTGGCTCTCTCGCCTTTTCGCTAACTGCAGGCGGCGAGGTCCTAGCCACTGCGCTCGTGTACGCATCGCTCGGCTTCCCATCCGACGTGCTGGAGCACGAGCACGCCAGCCAGATGCCTTCGCCATGCACCCTCGAGCTGTTTGAGATCGAGACTGCGGAGGCGCACCGCAGGCAAGGATATGCCACCGCCCTCATCACCTTGATGCTCAAGTGGCTGCAATGCTACGCAGGGGTCGCTCCCTACCTCTTTGCCCGGGACACCTCTGGCATCGAAGGCCTCTACACGCGGTGGGGCTTCCGCGCTACCGACCCGCAGTACCCGCACGTGCACGTGATTGACCTCCGCCGGGTGGCGGCGCGGGCGTGAGGAGGAAGAGGGGGGGGGGGGGGGGAAAAAAGGGGGGGGGAAAAAAGAAAGTGGGTGTCTGAGCAGGAGGGGGGAAAAGCGCTTCCAGCTTCGCCAGAAAAATACCTTTTTCGCAGTGCAAACGATCGAGACACGCGCCGTATCTGGGAGGAACGCAGAACAGACGACCGGGAGGCGGAGCAAACGCGCAGGGGGCAGGGCGACACGAGGGAGGGAGCAGAACTTTGCGGAGATCAGCAGGTGGGTGTACGAAGAGATTAGGAGCAGCAGGGACCCAAGGGACAACCGGTGGAAACGAAGACGGCTACTGCTAGCCTGAGGGAGGGTGTAGAGGATGTAGAGTGTAGAGCGCTGTAGAGCTGTAGAGCTGGAGAGTGCTGTAGAGCTGTAGAGCTCTACATCCACCGCGTGACGAGGCGGGTGCGTTGTAGAGCGATGTAGAGGCGCTCTACAACGTGAAATCTCTACAACAAACTCTACATCATAAGCGGCGAACGAGGCACGGTCGCTCTCCGACATGAGGCGCGTTGCACTTACCAGTGCTGCCTGGCCTTCTGTCTGCCCGCCCAATGGGTGGCAGGTGCCTCTGCTGCTGTGGCATGCCTCACGGCTGCGACTGGCCGGCGCCTCGGCGCGTCAGCTCGGCTTGGCGTAGCGATCGTGGCCAGCGCAACTCGCCTGGACTCAACGCTCAGCCAGGAGCTCCCGCACGCGCTGGCGCGAGTCATGGCGCATGCAACGCGTCTGAATGCTCGCCTCGCCTCGCGCAAATGCGACCGTCCTCGCAGCCGATAGTCCACCGCCTGCTAAAGAAGCACAGCGACGAATGCGGCACCGGCGACGCATGGCAGGCTGGTCATGACGCAGTTATAGGGTGTTGTGTGCCGTCAGAGTGACCGTCTCTGTGTGTCAGTGATAGTCAGGGCCGTCCATCAGAGCTCCAGTAAGCTCGGAGACACCCCATTAGTGCGACTCGACCTCTTTGAGTCACTGCCTTCCCGGCGGTTTGGCTGTAGAGCCTCTACAACAAACTCTACAGCAAAATCGCGCTCTACATCGCTCTACAACGCACCCGCCTCGTCACGCAGCCGATGTAGAGCTCTACAGCTCTACAGCGCTCCAGAGCGCTCTACATCTCTACAGCTCTACAGCGCTCTACACTCTACATCCTCTACACCCTCCCTCAGCTGCTAGCCCCCCGTCGCGGGAGCCGGCCGCGTCTGAATTCGGACGCCTGTGCTACCCTTCACACACGCTACACACGGTGTACTAGCACGGCGCATCCTGCGCCGTGCCCCCAATGTCAATACTCGAGCTTCCTTGCTTGTGCTCAATCTTGTCACGGTCCTACGTCCCTTGCGAGCGTTCGCGTGAACTCAGCGTCCTCTGGTCCTTTACAGTCCTACATGAGCCAGCCACCCTCTCCGCTCTGAGCCTCCGCGCTCAAACGGGCCGGGAGGACGACGACCCCGCCGACCAGGTCTTGGGACTTGGCCGGTTTCTAGGCTACCTAAACTTGGTCCTCTCAATCCTCCCCCCAAGCGGCGTCACGTATCCCATGCGCAGAAACCCAGCGCAACGCGCGCATCAAAGTTATGAATTCATAGACTCGGTCGAGAGACCCCAGCGTTGGCACCTGTCTGTGCCTTTCTTTCTGGACAGGGTGGCCCGCCACAAGGACCCCAGGAATTGCGACTAGCCGCTTTCCTCCCGCTGTGATTCTGTGTGAAATCTGTATCCGAATTGATGAGCCCTCTCATCCCGGAGTGGTTCGATCCCACGCGAATCCGAGACGGTGACGGGCGCTGTCTCGGTGATCTCAGGCCCAGTGAGGTAGTGCATCAGACCTGTCCCGGATCCTGCTGACCAAGCTCCTCTTGTAGCTCGATCGGTCACACCGCCATCGCCGTCGGGGAGAGGGGGGACGACACTGCTTCTGCAGCGTGCACCTCGATCCTGTACCGTGTTTGTTATGACCCCCCCCAATGAACATACCAGTGAGGGAGGGCGAGACGATCGAGGGGTCCCGTACCACGCGGAATCGACCCTATCCAGTGCTCGAGTGCTCGAGTATCTTGATTTGCCAACAACAAACCTAAAACCGCAACAAATAGTTCCTGAATTCGGCGCCGAACTTGCGCGGGCGCATCGGCGATTGAATACAGGAGACTGAATGGCTCGTTGGGCTGCAGCAAGTCGGCCAGTGCCAAGTCAGCCGGTGCCAGAGCTGATAACGGCGAATGGCAGCCTTGGCCTGCGCTCGACAGGAGAAGGAGAGTTTGACTACACACCCGCAGCAGGGTGCGCCAAGACGCCGGGCGCCGTGATACAGACAGTGGAGGGGGTAAGGCGAACCTCTTGTGAGGCGGCGTGCGCAAGCTCTAGCCTCTGCCGAGCTGCGGCGTTCGTCTACCCAACAGGAGATTCTGAGGCGAGGCAGAGCCGACGGAGTCGCACCACCATACGCTCGCCGCCGCCGCCGCCGCCGCCGCAGCCGCCCCTGCAGCTTCCGCCTGGCGTCGGCAGATGCGTCCTCTACAGCCGATGCCTCGAGCGCACGCGCGCGCTGCCCCCGGCTCGCGTCGATCTGCTGCATCGCTGGGGGCCCACGTGGCCGCAACATACCCGGCCGAGGGATGTGCAGTGGGGAACGAATGCCACACTTGTGATCGTGTCTTTCCGTTCGTCGCTCGACTGGCTGCGCACTCTGCCCGGCGGCATCCTCGACCTCGTCATCTACCACAAGGGCTACTTGGACGAGGCCAAGGCCGAAGCTCAGGAGTGTTTGCGGAGGCTGCCGAGCGGGGCCTGCCAGAACCTCACGCGCTTGAGCGGGAACCGCTCCCATCTCACCACCGTACGTCGGGGGTGGAGGGAGGAGGCGGGGGCGACGAGCAGCGAGCCGATGACGCCGGCGTACGTCGACTCGCACTTGCGTATCAAGCATCAGTGCCGGCGGGCAGAAATACACCGCCCACCGCAAGGCTGTCCGAGTGGCTGCACCTGCGGGCCGCGGCCGCCTGCAGAGCGGCCAGTCCTCAAGTACTTTGCCGTGCTTCCAAATTATGGGCAAGCGGCCGGGCGGAAGCAGGGAGGCTCACGCGAGGTCGTTGGCTACCTGCAGTTCGTGATCGACTTTTGGGAGAACCTGCCAAACGTGGTCATCTTCTCGCAGGTCATGGGCGCGCGCGCGGCCCCCACGGCCCCCACACCCCAACGTTACCGTCGGCCTGATCGTTGCAGGACGACCGAACTCAGCTGCGGCCGGCTCCCTGGGGCAACCTGGACATCCTCCGGCCGCAGCTCAGGGAGTGGAAAAAGCTGTGGGGCCCAGACAGGCCCCTCTCCCGCCGCAGCTGCATGTGCGACTACTTGCGCGAGAACAGCTACCGCCAGGGAAATTACTACTGGTACAAATCCATGAGTGCGATGCAGGAGCGGCTGATGGCCACAAACCTGAGCGCGCGGAGCCGCACCGTGACGTGGCCAAGGGCGGCGACCTTCGCCGCCTCGCGCTTCCAGATCCGCGCGCAGCCCCTGTGGGCGTTTGAGCAAATTCACCGCGTCGCTACAGTGGAGAGGGCTTGCGGCTCTGTGGGCACCCTCACCTGGGCGCACTCGATGGAGAGGCTCTGGCTCGAGCTCTTCGACGAGCGCGTCCCGAAGGCGTTTCGGCCGGCGTCGCCGGGCGACCGCGGACTCGGCGCTTGCTTTGGCGGTGCGAGGAGGAGGCGGAGGAGGAGGCGCTAGGTTAGGTTAGGTAGAAAGGAAGAACAATCTGGCTCGGGCTCGAGTACCGACCAAGTTCTGGAGCAGAACCCACACCGCCCCCGGGCGAAGCGTGCGGCGTCGGTTAGGTGATAAGGCCGCGGGACGGTCGGTCATGTCCTCGCTCGCTCGACTAGCCACATGCAACCTCAACCAGTGGGCGATGGACTTCCGCGGCAACCTGGAGCGGATCGAGGCGTCCATCCGCGAGGCCAAGGCGGCAGGGTGCACCTTCCGCACCGGGCCGGAGCTCGAGGTGACGGGCTACTCGTGCGAGGACTCGTTCCTCGAGGCGGACACGCTTGCGCACGCGTGGGAGTCGCTAGCCGCGCTGCTCGCCTCAGACCTCACCGACGGCATCCTCTGCGACATCGGCATGCCGGTGATGCACCGGAACGTCTCGTACAACTGCCGCGTCGTGCTGCTCAACCGGCGCGTGGTGGGCGTGCGGCCAAAGGTGTGCCTCGCCAACGACGGCAACTACCGCGAGATGCGGTACTTCACGCCCTGGTTCATCGACCCCACCTCTCCTGGCTACGGCGCTCTCGAGCAGTACTACCTGCCGCGCATCGTCCGCGAGTTGACCGGCCAGCGGACAGTGCCAATCGGCATCTTCGCCGTCGCGGCGCTCGACACTCGCCGTTGACGGCCATGCGTGGCTCCGAGTCTTCCACCCTCCTCCTTCCTATTCTCAGGCGCTCGACACCGCCCTCGCCTTTGAGACTTGCGAGGCGCTCCTCCCCTCTGGCCGCGCCATCCCTGTTCCGATGCTCACCACTCCTCCTCCTCACTGTCAGCCATCTATACTCTCAGGAGCTCTTCACGCCGCTCGCGCCGCACATCGCCCTCTCTCTGGACGGCGTCGAGATCATCGCGAACGGCTCCGGCTCACACCACCAGCTCCGCAAGCTGCAGACGAGGAGCGCGCGTCGCCGCACCGGCTCGGACCCTTCTCGGACCCTTCTCGGACCCTTCTCGGAGGCTTCGTGTAGGATCGATCTCGTGCGCGGCGCGACCGCAAAGGCACTGCGAGCCGCCCGAGATCGACCCGAGATCGCCCGAGATTCACCCGAGGTTGACTCGAGATCATCCGAGAGATCTCCCGAGATCGCCCGAGATCGACCTGAGGTCGTCCCGAGATCGCCCGAGACTCACCCGAGAGTGACCCGGCCTCCGCTAGGCGGGCGGCGTCTACCTCTACGCCAACCAAAAGGGCTGCGACGGCGGGCGGCTGTACTTCGACGGCTGCGCGATGGCGTGGGTGAACGGCGAGTGCGTCGCGCAGGGCTCCCCGTTCGAGGGGGTGCAGTACCCTACCGACCCGGACCCAAACCCAGTACCCAAATAAAGTAGGGTCGCAGTTCGAGGGCCTGGACGAGGTGCAGCGTGGTTGTCGCGACTCTGACTCAGTGAATGAACGCCTCAGTACTCGCCATCGGTCGGTGCAGGTGGAGGTGGTCGTCGCGACAGTCTCGCTGTCGGACGTCCGCGCCTTCCGGGCGAGCTTCATAGCGCGCTCGAGCCAGGCGGAACACGGCGGCATCGATGGAGTAGTCAGCTCCGCGCCCATCCCTCCTCAATTCAGTCCAGGCGGCCTCCGCCGCCTCGATCCCTCGCGTCGAGGTCGACTTTGCGCTCACGCTTCCGTGCGCGGACCAGCTGTGCCGGGCCCCGCTAACCAGACGGCCGATCACGGGGGTGCGGATCCTGAGCAGGTACGCGGACCAGCTCTGCAGTGCGCCGTCGCGCCCCTCGCCGCCGCGGCTGCACAGCGCCATGGAGGAGAGCGAAGCCACTACGTTTGCCGGGCCGTGCCGAGGGGCGCGAGGACGGTGTCTCAGCCGCTGCTCGAGAAGAGTCTAGGAGATCGCCCTTGGGCCGTCGGGGTGGCTGTGGGACTACTTGCGCCGCTCGGGGCAGCGCGGCTACTTCCTCCCCCTCTCGGGCGGCGCTGACTCGAGCTCGACCGCCGCTCTGGTGGCGGCCCTGTGGGGCAGAGCCGTCCCTTCCTCCGGACCTGATCCGGACCTGAGTCCGAGTCGTTGCTTGTGGGAAGGTGGCGATCATGTGCCAGCGAGTTGTCGAGGAGCTGGGCGCGGGATCGGAGCGGTCGCGGTCGCGCGTACTCGCCGACGTGTCTCACCAAGCGACACCGGCTGCAGGCCCGAGGGGAGCCGAGACCATCCGAGGCGAGGCGAGAGTAGGTGCGGCGCGTCACCAAGCGGGCCGACTACACGCCGCCCGACTGGCGCGACTTGTGCGGCAAGGTGAGCTCGGCCTCGGCTCCTCTCGGCTCAGCTCGGCTCAGCTCGGCTCAGCTCGGCTCATCTCGGCTCCCTCTCGGCTCCCTCTCGGCTCCTCTCGGCCCCTCTCGGCCCCTCTCGGCTGTTCTCGGCTGTTCTCGGCCCCTCTCGGCGTAGCATCGCACGCCGCCCGACTGACCTGCGGTTGCGGCTAGGTGCTCGCGACTTGCTACATGGCGTCCGAGATCAGCAGAGATTAGCCGAGAGTAGCCGAGACTTAGGTGCTCGTGACTTGCTACATGGCGTCCGAGTTCTCCGGCGCCGAGACGCGGGCGCGCGCGGCGCTACTCGCCGAGCAGATAGGCTGCCTGCACACCTCCATCAGCATCGACGGCATGCGGTCTGCCGTCTGCGAGACGTTTGCGGCGATGGAGGTGCACTCGGGAGGCGTGCGCAGCGAGGCGCTCAAGCTGAGAAGTAGAGCAGCTGAGCCGAGAGGGGCCGAGAGGGGCCGAGGAGTCGAGAGGAGCCGAGAGCAGCCGAGGAGCCGAGAGGAGCCGAGAGGAGCCGAGAGGAGCCGAGGAGCCGAGAGGAGCCGAGAGTAGGCGGTCAGGCGGCGGCCAGAGATGAAGACCAAGCCGCGCGACTACGCCGAGCTCACGCAGAACTTGGCGCTGCAAAACATCCAGGCACTTCCTAGACACTCCCTAGGCACTTCCTAGGCACTCCCTAGGCACTTCCTAGGCACTCCCTAGACACTCCCTAGAGCTTGGCGCTGCAACACATCCAGGCACTTCCTAGACATTCCTAGGCACTCCCTAGGCACTTCCTAGGCACTTCCTAGACACTCCCTAGACACTCCCTAGGCACTCCCTAGGCACTTCCTAGGCACTCCCTAGACACTCCCTAGGCACTTCCTAGGCACTCCCTAGGCACTCCCTAGGCACTCCCTAGAGCTTGGCGCTGCAACACATCCAGGGCCGCTCCCGGATGGTGATGGCGTACTCACCCGAGGTTACCCGAGATTCCCCGAGATTCCCCGGGACTACAGGCCCGCTCCCGGATGGTGATGGCGTACTTTATGGCGCAGCTGATGCCGTGGGCGACCGACGGCGACGAGACGACGGCGGGCGGCTCGCTCCTCGTGCTCGGATCCGCGAACGTCGACGAGGCGTTGCGCGGCTACTACACAAAGTACGACTGCTCGGCCGCAGACCTGAACCCGATCGGCGGCGTCAACAAGCGCGACCTCAAGGTACGCCCGAGATTGCCCGAGATGACCTGAGACTGCCCGAGATTACCCGAGATTACCCGAGAGCGCGACCTCAAGGCGCCCCCTCGAGCGTGCGGATGAGGAGCTGGCTGCAGTCTGTTCACTGCCCTCTGGCAACTCCAACCTTGCGTCTCCAACCTTGCGTCTCTAACCAGGCATTCCTCGAGTGGGCCGGACGCGAGCGAGGGATCGGGGTGCTCGCGCGCGTCGCCGACGCGCCCCCCAGCGCCGAGCTGACGGGCGCCGAAGGCGCGCAGCTCTGAAGGGGGGGGGGGGGCGTGGGCGTAATGGGGGGACGCGTTGAGCCGGTGCGGGGGCTGACTGATGCAGGCGCGCAGCTCGACGAGGAGGACATGGGCATGTCGTACGACGAGCTGGCCGCGCTGGGCTATTGCCGCAAGGCAAAGCCGCCGCTGCTCGCACTTCGCCCGCCCTCGCTCGCACTTCGCCGCTGCGACGCACCGCCCCCCCCCACACACACACATCCCGCCGCCGCCTCCGCCCCGCCTCCGCCCCCGCCCCGCCCCCGCCCCGCCCCCGCCCCCCTTCCCACAACCACCCGAGGGGCCGCCCGGCCCTCGTGCCGCCCACCCACCAGGTCGAGCGGTGCGGGCCGCTCTCGACCTTCCTCAAGCTGCGCGACCGCTGGGCCGACGGACGCGCGCTCACGCCGTCCATCCGCGCGAGGGGCGCCGCCGCGCCGGTCACGTTTGACGAGCAGGTCGCGCAGAAGGTCAAGGACTTTTACTTTTACCACGCGATCAACCGGCACAAGAGGGCGGCGCCCGGCTACCTCTCGGCTGTGTCTCGGCTCCATCTCGGCTGGCTCTACCTGCAGGCACAAGATGACGACGCTCACGCCGTCCTACCACGCGGAGAGCTACTCGCCCGACGACAACCGCTTCGACTTGCGCCCCTTCCTGCAGAATGCGCGGTTCGACGAGCAGTTCAAGGCGATCGACGAGGCGGTGGCGGCGGCCAAGGCGGCGCGTGGCGAGAGTTGAGCGTTGTGGCCCGCCCCGCCGCGTTTTTGTGTGAGAGGCTCGGAAGCCTGTCGTGTGTCGACCGGAGACGGGGGGTCCGGTTCACCTCCGCAGTCGGCTCTACTCATATGGAATTTAAGGGCAGCCGATACAGATACACACTCTCACAGGTCACACCCTCGGGGCCGGCACAAGCCGTCCGCAGCAGGCGCGGCAGGTCCAGGATACTCTAGTTGGACGGGGGGCCGCGGTGTGAGAGGAGGCGGTCTCTCGTCGCCCGTATGCCGTAACCCCGTGCCGGGGCTCGTCCGTCGTGCCCGACCCAAAACATCCACTTGGTTGTAGTGCGAACTTCGTTCCTTCGTTGGTTGTAGTGGCTAGTGCGGCGCCGAGCCGCACGAAAGAGAGCCGCCCCTCGCGCCGTCGATGTGGAGGGACTTCTGGCCTTCTCGATGGTCAACACGAACTCTGCGCGGTGTGAATTACGGAGATTGACCTTACCTTACCTTAGGTGCCAGTCGGCAGTCCGGTGCGCGCCCAGTCCCATCCCATGCCTAGTCCCTAGACCCTAGTGCTTCCTGGCGGCTTCATTCTCGGTGAGTATCTCTACTTCACCGGAGAGAACCAGATCGTCGGGCGCAGACTTCCGCGCCCCGACTTCGAGCTCGAGCTTGACATCCTCGTGTGCGCGGCTCGCGCGGTGAGGTGGTGGGCCTTGGTTTGGAGCCGGACAGCCTCGCGATGCGCTTTTCAAACAAGGTAACCAGCCGGTCAACATCGCCTCCCTGAGCCGCGACGATTCCGTGCGCCGTGTCGTCCGTGCCCGAGAATGTATTGCGAGCGCGCCGAGCGCTCGCCGCGCGCAGGGAGGAGCAGAAGCGGGCTGCGGCAGCGGCGGCGTCGCAGACGGCAGAGGACATTGCAGCGGAGGCGGAGCGGCGGCAGCAGCTGGCGGCGGAGCTCCTGGAGGAGGAAGCTGCGGCCAGGGCTCCGCCTCCACTTCAGGAGGCGGGACGGAGGAGGAGGAGGAAGAAGAAGCAGAGCGGCTTTCGCGGGTCGAGGAGCAGCGCAGCCGAAGGAGCAGAGGGATCGGCCGACTGCGGCGACTCCACCTCTAGGGCGGCGCCAGCGCGCGAGTCGGCTTCAGAGAGCGACGAGGAGGAGCGCTTGACGCCAGCCGAGGAGGCGCGACGGGCAGAGGAGTCGGAGCGGGCGGTGCGGCGAGAGAGGCAGGCGAGGCTGCTCGAGGCAGCGCGGCGGGAGAGGGAGGAGCGTTTGGAGAGGGAGGCTAGGGCCGAGGCCGCGGCCGCGGCTGCGGCGGAGAGCGAGGCTCACAGCAGGCGACAGCAGGCGGCGCGAGCGGCGGTGGAGGAGCGGAAGCAAGCAGCGCGGGCGGCGCTGGTGGACGAGATGGAGGCGCAGGCGCGGCAGGAGGAGGCGGCGCGGGCCGCGGCACCGCTGAGGACGACGCAGGCTGAGCAGTCCAGCACGCGGTCGGCGATCGAGCAGGCGCTCTCCCAGGCTAGGTCAGACGCGGCGGCGGCGAGGGCTCGCGAGGCGACGTTGGGGTCAGAGGCGGAACGGGCGAGGTCAGAGGCGGAACAGGCGAGGTTGCAGGCGGAGGCGGCGAGGGCGAGGGAGGAGGAGGCGAGGGGGCGAGAGGGGGGAGCAAGGGGGCGGGAGGAGGCGGCGAGGGCGGAGGCGGAGGCAGCGACGGCACGCGAGGAGGCGCTCACCATGCGACTCGCGGCGCTCGAGCTAGGACCCCCACCGGCCGCCCCGCCACCGGCAACCGCAAACAACGCTGTGGGAGGAGGCGTCGGAGGCACCTTCCACGGCGCCAGAAAGTCTCGCGGGTCTGTGCGCATTTGGGGCTGGACGCGCGCTCCTCGCTCTCTGCGGCGGTGGCGGCGGCGAACGAGAGCACAGGGGTCGCCGCTGAGGGAAGGCTTCTGCAGCAAGTGGACCGGCTGATCGCGCTGCTGTTTGAGGCGCCGCGCCAGGCGGGAGTCGCGGTGTAGCAGGTCTAGAGGTTGGTGTTGACTACAAGATGTTCGAGTCCGCGCAACCCGCTCTATTGAGTACACGGCCCTCTAAGCTCTATTGCAACACATACAGCTAATTTCGCGGTCTTTTGAGTTTTGTGAAAAGACCTACATCGCTACATGCATAACGTACTGAGAGAACACAGCGGTGGGCCCCAAACAAACGGTTAAGTCGGGGGCGGCGACATCTGAGATGTCACCACGGGAGAGGCTATCAAAAGACGCGGGGGGCACGCCATCGGTAAAGATGATTAAATCTTCCGGAGATTATCCTTAGTGCTTAGATGGAAAACGCATCCTAGATGGCGTTTGGCATCTAGGATGCGCATATCATCTGTAGATGGGGCGAGCGACCAGTGGGGGAAGAGGTCCCGTCTTTTTTCTTCGCAGCACAGTTCCTTGTCGA